TAATATTTTTTGTATGCAAATCAAATTAACATTTAATTAGTTCCTAAAATATTGGGTATACAATATTAATTTAGGAATATCCATGTAGTTCCTAAAATGTTGGTATGCAATACGTAAAAGAAGATTTTTTATTTTTTTTTAATATAAAATATTGCAACACGTAAAACTATTCCAGTTATTTTTTATTTTATTTTACATATAAAATCTAATCAATATTTAATGCATCCTAAAAAATTGGATGGAAATAAAAAAGTACGTAAAATCTATACTAAAATAAAAAAGGCTTTCTTTATTATCTAATTGTATGAAAATTTGTTCTGATTTTATGGTACATACTACAAATTGTGCACCCGTGTTCAGGAGCTACTTAACGGGCAAGCTCTGTAGAAATAACTCATTTAGTGCTTCTGTCCCGTGCATACAGTATGTATTTGTATTACACATGCTAGAAAATTGTGCACCCCGTGCATCGCACGGACTCTGTACTAATAAATGACCTTAAAATTGAGCACCCCGTGCATCACCCGTGTTCACATTTTGGCCTATTACATGTCACGTACTATATATATCTTGTACATTTTCTTTATTCATTTATATAATTATAAGACTTGATAAATGACTTTTGTACACCCCGTGCATCGCACGGGATCTGTACTAGTTTGTTGTTAAGTCCAAACCTTTTCACCATTAATTAGGACTAGTATTAATTCTATGCAGTTACCAAAATTAAATAAATATTATATTTAAACTTTTTTTTTCCAACTATATTAAAGTTCCATAAAAAATAAAAACCCCATACAGATAATGTACATGAGGGAATCCCCTGATCCTGGGTGACTGAGAGGATTAGTAAACAAGCTTCTTAGCCGAGCCTAACCACACAACATCTAACCAAATATAGTTTGCATACATCACTAAAGAATAACACACCATCACCACCAGAACTTGAGTATCACCACCAGAACTTGAGTATCAAAACACAACTAAACCTAATCATACAAAGACAAAAAGTGCAAAACAGATAGATCACTGAAACGAGACCTAACCTATCTCCTCAGCACTTCAGTCATTCCTTGTTGTGGCAGTGTTTGAAGCTAAGCCAATCTCTTATAGCGGCTTTAATGATCCTGACCTCATCTTGCCATTTACTTTCAAACACCCAGAGGTTTTTAGCTCTCCACAGCCACCACAAAATATAAGTGGCGAGTTGGATTCTGTCTTCATTGTGCTAATCCACCACCACAAGTGCTTAAAGCTCATATGCTCTTCTTGCACTCTATTCCAGTTGACAGGTGATAGCTGCCAAACAGTTCTTGCTCTTCTGCACAGGAAAAAAGTGTATTCTTGGGTTTCCACTTCTTTTGCACATACTCTGCAGATTTCCTCCACTGGCACCCCTCTTTTATGAAGATTTGACAAAGGATTTATATGTCCTTTAAATGTCTTTGGTTGTAGACATTTAAAGGACATATAATATCCTTTGTCTAACATAAATAGTATATTCACAGGAAGGATATTAGAAAAAAATTGTCAAATAAAATGTTTCACCTTATTCATTACTTTGAGCCTCCAACACCTCCTTTTGGCTTTCACATTTCCCTTTCCAAGTTCACTGCACTCAGCCATTGTTCTTGTGTGTTGCTTCTCAGCAAGATACTGTAGGTTTCCATTTAGAATCAACTTCCTCAGTGAAAATGGCATTGACCAAGTTAGCATCCTAAAGGACACCACCTGCCATTAGAAGATCTTTCACCCAGAACAAATTCCCATCAATCTTAGCCCTCAGTTCAGGTTTCCATTTTTCTGCCCTGGCACCTAATTGACATAATTTAGCTTAGTATTAACCCCATTTCTAATGAGAATGTTCCCATGTTTCTGCAGATCTAGTAGAAAAGAGGACCATAAGTTCCATACCAAGAAGCACCTCCAGTGTTGTGTCAGTCAAAGATAGAATAGCTTTTGAAGTACTTGCTCTTTAACACCCTACACATAAGCTTATCAGGTTGTTCAATGAGTCTCCCAAAATGTTTCAGAATCAGAGATTTGTTGAAGAGTTTAAGGTCCATAAAACCAGCCCCCCCTCATCCTTAGGCACTGTCATTTTGTCCTAATATAACCAATGCAAGTTTTGTTTCTGAATGTCCCCTTTATTCCACCAGAAGTTTGCCATGAGTCTGCACACTTCTTTGAACATGCCAACATGTAATATAAAGCATGACATGGCAAAAACTGGCAATGCACAAAGAACAAATTTCACCAAAGTCTCCTTACTTGCAGTTGAGAGAAAGTTATTCTTCCAGCTGCATATTCTATCACTCACAGATCCACAACAAACTGAAAAGTTTCTAGTTTAGAAGCACCAATTCCCAAAGGCAAACCGAGGTACATGGATGATCTTTTCACCACCACTCCTTGCAAGATAGAAGAAATCCTGGCTTTTAACTCCTCAGAACCATTTTTACTGAAAAACAGAGATGATTTATGCAAGTTCACTTTCTGATCTGTGAACAACTGGTATCTGTGAAGGTGTCAAAAAGTAGCTCTGCATGATCTTTATCTGCTTTACAAAAGATATGAGCATCATCAGCAAACAATAGGTGGGATAACATAGGCCCATCCCTTGATATCTTGATTCCCCTGAACAACCCAAAATTGATCTTGTGTTGCAACATAGAGGAGAAGATCTCAGAAACCAGGATAAATAGGTATGGAGACAGGGGGTCTCCCTATCTAATACCCCTAGAGGATTTCACATAGCCACACACCCTCCCATTCAGATTAGAAGAAAAAGTAGTGTAAGATATACACCTAAGCACCCACTGAATAAACTTAGCCTGAAATCCCATCATACTCATAATCTTCCTTATGCATTCCCATTCCACTCTATCATGTGCTTTTTTCATATCCAGTTTAACAACTGTTGATGGTCGTAACCACCAGCCTTTGTTGTATATATTTTTACCGGAGTTAAATCAAAAGATTCAAACACCGCGTCGTCTCTCAAGGAAGGTTGGCCGGATTAAATTGTACGTTTATTCATTCACAGAAAAAGAAACAAAGTCCTAAACTATCTAATTCAAGATTTTTGGTTTGATTTATCAACTACGAATTATAAAAATAAGGCTTGCTATTCCAAACTCACAGCTCAAAACAAAAATTCAAATAATGAATAAAGGGGCTAGGGTATCGGAGACAATCGCTTCTGGTTCTCAATACAATTAAAGTGCAATCAAGAGCTCGGTTAAATGACTCGACGAACTACTCATCTAGAGATATATCCTCAATAACTCTTCGTAACAAGAGTGTAAACATAAATGAGTAATTCTTAAAACAATTAACACATAGGCAATACCATTACGAACAAGCCTATTCTTAATGAGCCTAGATCGAACGATTTCTCCCATTTCAGTTCTAAAATTGATTAATTAGACAAGATGGTGATCAATCATCTAACCCTAGGATTAACACAACTCGAAAAGATTTAGCAACTAACATGCATATAAACAAAATCAAACCGGAACGATAATCCCCTAACCCTAGCTAACAAATTTAGTTACTCGTAATGGATTCAACATCAAATACACAACAATCCAAGCCAACCCAATCATGAAGAAAACGAAATGAAAGCTTATGATTAATGTATCCAATGTCGAAAGCAAGAACAAACCAAATCCAAAATCGAAACTAGGAGTTTTTACTCTTCAAGATTGAATCCCAATCAAAAGCTAAGAGAAATATGTGTTCTAAGGCGAAAAGTACGAGAACAACTTCAAAACTTAGCTTACAACGTAATGATATCGTTTTCAAAATCTGCTTCATAAAAATCTGCAAGCCGCGGAGAGCTCCGCGGGTCGCGGTGATGTAAGGCCCCGCGGTCGCGACATGTCTAGAGGCCGCGACAATTTGAGTCAGAAGCCTCCCGCGGCTATGAAAACTGGGCGAGCGATGTTTTTTGTTCACCGCGGGCGCGGGAAGACCGTCGCGGGCCGCAGTTAAGTATTTTCTTCAAAGAAAACATTTTTGGGCTCGTATGCACGCCTCCGGACTCAGAATTGAACTCCGTCTTTTCCAATTTGACCCTAACTTATTCGTCTAGATAATTAACTTCGCTCGACCACTTTCTTCTCGAAATTAGTAACTGGTTACAACACCCAACTTGTACATTACTAACGAATTTAGTTACTCATAATGGATTCAAGATCAAAATACACAACAATCAGAGCCATCACAATCATGAAGAAAATGAAATGAAAGCTTAAGATTTATGTATCCAATGTCGAAAGCAAGAACAAACCAAATCCAAAAGTCGAATCTAGAAGTTTTTACTCTCCCCAATCAAAAGCTAAGAGAAATATGTGTTCTAAGGTAAAAAGTACGAGAACAACTTCAAAAACTAGCTTAAGACATAATGTTATTGTTTTCAAAATCTTCTTCATACAAATCTACAAGTCGCGGCCTTCGCAGCCGCGGAGAGCTCCGCGGGTCGCGGTGATGTAAGGCTCCGCGGTTGCGGAAAATTTGAGTGAAAAGCCTCCCGCGGCCGCGGTGATAAAAACTGGGCGCGCGTTGTTTTTTGTTCACCGCGGCCGCGGGAAGACCGTTGCGTGCCGCAGTGAAGGATTTTAATCTAAGAAAAAGTTCTCGGGCTCGTATGCACACATCCAGACTCGGGATTGAACTCCGTCTTTTACAATTTGACCCCAACTCATCCGCTTAGATAACTAGCTTCGCTCGGCCACTTTTTTCTCAGAACTAATAATCGGTCACAACACCCAACCTGCACATCACCACCGACAAGAAAAATGTAGAAAATTGGGAAAAACGAGCAAGAAAACCAAAAACAAACAAAACAAGAAAAATGCACGACAAGATACAAAATGGACCAAGAACCAAAGAAAAATACCTGAAATGGGGAAAAATAAAGATAAAATAAACACAAAAAACACGACAAAAATAGAACGAACAACCTTTTCCTCTT